AAAGGTAATTTTTGTTTATGGGTTGTTCAGTTTGATAAGTGATTGTAAAGTATTCTAAATATAGTAGTTTTTTAAAATTTTTGTGTTTAATTTGGTGAAAAAGGAATTCATAGTAAAATTTTAGTAAATTTCAAATTCACTTCATAGTTAATATTTTATGTATTCAAAACTAACACATTTTCGGCCAAATTTCAAATACGCTGAAAGTTGACTCCACTATCACAGTTTCGCACCACTGTTGGTTGTTGCCCCCGCATTATCGCTAGCTGCTGCCTACCATTGTCGACCGTTGCATTCCACCGACTATGATTGCCTGCCACGACAATTTTCCACATGCCGCAAGTTGCCCTTTATCAATGCATGTATCTGTCCTCCTCCATTGTCCACACCTTTCTGTCACTAACACCAAAGTTGTTATCGTCGCCACCCCCTTGCATTCATTTTACTTGATACACTGCATTTTTTTTACACATCCAGACAATTCTAAACATTTCAAATATATTGCATTTTTATGCATGTTATATTCTATTTTACTATGCATTTTTTTTAACAAACCAAACAACCCCTTACCCGAACAATACTACTCATGATATAGAGAAAAGTTATGACCTCATAATCTTAAGGGTTAACCTATTTGTTGATTCAACAAGCTCAAGAAATCGAGACAGCATATTAATCTCAAGCTCAACACATCCAAGGATTGGGCTCGAGTATCAAGTCCCAATTCAATAAACTTAGGAGCCAAAGTAGTAAAAATCAATGTTGTGAAAACCGTATCGAACATCAAATCAAAATAGAGAGGCTCAAGGTTCAATGGTTCGAACAGGATTGAATCGAATGTTGAACCAAATAACGTTATAAATATTAAAATCATTTAATTGAAAAATAAATGATACAATAAGCATATAAGAATTATGCAATAATATAAATTTGTGATTGAAAAGTAAATTTAGTTAACATATAAACTTATAAATTTAATATAAATTATTGCTAATTTATATTATATATTTAAATAAATTTACAAATATAAATTTTATATTAAATTCACATTATAAACAAGATTCTATAAATCATTCATATTAAATTATTTAAATATAATAAATAGTTAAAAATTATTTTTTAATAGTTTATGAAAATTTTAAATAGAAAACAATTAAATATGATTAATAAAATAAATAAATAATATTTATATTATTAAAAAATTTGTTAAAAAATATATAATGTATATGTTTAAATTTGAAAATATTAATTAAATTATTTAGTCCCGCATCACTTAAAAGGTTTTTTTTGATCTTGTTTATATAGCTTTTTTAGTTTGCGTATGATAAGAGCTCACATGAGGTGGTGAGACCATGTGGGTGAGTTTTGTTGGTGGTTAGTCTGAAAGTGATTATTATGTAAATTTAATGCTCATTATAAAATTTAAATTAATTTATTATATTTAACCATTTTTTATGCTAAATTTATTGAATTAATTTATTTAATTATTTAAATCAAATAGCGTTGAAATGGTCGTTTCTATGGAAACGGGATCAATTCAGCAGTTCGTCGATCGAACTAGCGGTTTTGATCGGTTCAAATCGATTTTTAATATGATCCGAACCGGCCTTGTGATTGATTCATAGTTGAACTAACCGGTCCGATTTGATTTTTATAACCTATCAAAAAATCTCATTGCATAAACCTGAGGTTTGAGATGTTTTAGTTAGTCAATAAGATTAAGAAGCCAAGTCAGCATACCAAATATTAACTTGGTTCAATAAAATCAAGAAATGTAGTAGAAATAATCTCAACTCACAAACCTAAAGGTTGAGTTGTTCTATTGGTTCAATAAGCTATAAAAAGTCAACCCAACATACCAATTTCAAGTTCAACATTTTTTAAAAATTGATCTTGAATTTCAAGTCCCAATTTAATAAACCTAAAGATTGATTTGAGAAAATTTCTTAGCTCTCAAATTTAAAGAGTCAAGTTACCTTGTTGATTCGATAAGCTCTTGAAACCAAACTAGCATACAAACATCAAGCTTTATAAATCTAAAAGATTGAGTTTGAATATTAAGAACTAGTTCAATAAACTTAAGGGGAACTCGTGAAAAGTTTTAGTTGATAAGCTTAAGGTTTGGGCGGCATCTTTGATTCAACAAAGTCCAAAGGTTGAGTAAATATACAAATCCTAATTCAATAAGCTTAAGGGTCAAACTAGCACATTTCACAAACCTAAGGGCTAAAGCTTCATTTATGATTTAGAATCTCTAGTAACCTAGTTGGCATATGCATATGATAATTCAACAAGTTCAAGGATCAAGCTCTCTTTTGCCCTCTTAAGGGTTGATTTATCATGCTCTTTGTTATTGGTGTCTCTCACAAGTGTTTGTCTCTTGTTTGTTGTCCGTTGTCCTTCCATGTTTTCAACAATATGCCTACAATATGAATGTAAGTTTATCAATGGAGTGTTGCATTACTATAAATTAATTCTCAACCGAAAATTTTTTATCACTATTGTCATTCTTAATATGATACCAATACAAAGATTAGTTTTCGACCATGAGAGCGTGCAAAGGAGTTACGGTTAGCAAGTGAACCAAGCCACCATTCTTTTCTAATTGCATGCCAAAATAAAATCTTATGAAATTGAAAATTAGAATGAGAAATAGGCTCATGGTTTGGCTTAAGCTCATTATGGTTGAACAATTTAATCCCATACCCATGTGCACTAGTCTATTAAGGCTTTTAGAAGATTATGCTTATCGACTAACCAAACCCACTTGATAGCTCTACTATGGTCTTGGTCTTCTCCCTTGTATAAAAGCTTACAGAGGATTGTGTTGTGGTCACCAATGGTTTATCCCCTGATCGGTTACCGATTTGGCCTTGAGAGACTTCCAAATGTGTCAGAGATGATGTGTAAGCCTTAGGAGAGGTTGGACTAGAGTGGTGTTAAAGTACAATACAATAAGAAGGTGATGCACAAGGGTATTGCAAATCTAATTGAATTCTGATAAGTTAATTTTAAGTTTTGTAAGGCTTCAAGCCTTCAATTGATGAGCACTTCAAGACTTGGAAATACTTGGAGATGGAAGAAGAGTGTTTTATGAATAATCTTTCAGATTTTCATGAAGTTTAAGAGTTTTTGTGGGTCAAATGGGAGCTAGAATTCAACTAGGTTAGATTCAATTTTAGTTTGATCAATAACTTTAATAAGGGTTTTGGATGCGATTTTATGCGGATAATGCTAGGAAATGAGTGTGAAATGATGAGAGGGTGATTGTAGAAAAGTTTTATATATATAAAAAAACTTTTAAAAATAAAGATACAAAATACTTGCTACTTATAAAAATAGTAAGGTTGAAGAGACCACCAAACTTTTTCAAGTGAGTGTTGGCCACTAAGCCTCCTTTTCTTGGAAAGAACTTCAAATCTTGCAAATACAACTTTTTCTCTTCATTTTATTTGGCTTGTTGAGAGGTTTGATAGAGAAGTATGGATAGAGGAAAAATGATCTACATTTGATATTTATTGATTTAGAAAAAGCATATGATAAAGTTCAAAGAAAAGCGATCTGGAGAGTTCTACAAAAAAAAAGAGTTAATAATGTTATTAAAGATATGTATATAAGAGCTATTACTTGTGTTTAAACACAAGGTTGTTTTGGATTATATCATATCTTTTTTACACTAGTCATGGATGTTCTTACTAGACATTTGCGAGAGAATATACCTTGTTGTACGCTTTTTGTTGATGATATTTATCTTGTTGATAAGATTGGAGAGGGAGTTGATGAAAAACTTAAAAATATGGAGTTCAACCATAGTGTCTGAAGATTTTCGTTTGTTTGATCCAAAATTGAATATATGGAGTATAATTTTAATAGTAATAGATCTACTTGTAGCATTGACATTGGGTGATCAAGTCATTAAGAGTCCACATTTTAGATATCTCATGGTGAAATAGATGGATATATTATTAATAGAATTCAAGCTAGATAGTTGAAGTGGCTGAATGCATTGAACCTATTTTGTGATAGAAAAATACCCCTCAAACTTAAGGGAAAATTTTATAAGATGGTGGTATGACCTGCAATGCTTTATGGTGTAGAATATTGGGTATTAAAAGAGAAGCATAAAATTAATTTAAAAGTTACATAGATGGGAATGCTCAGGTAGATGAGTGGCTTCACACTTAGAGATAGAATTTGAAATGAGTATATACGGGAAAAGGTTGGAATAGTTCCAATGGCAAATAAGATTAGAGAGTCTCTTTAAACGATTTGGTCACATCATCTGATGATCTTGTTAGGAGAGTAGATATATGATCCGACCTATGTTATGAAAAGTAGCAGTAGATCTATAAAGCAACTTGGGTAGAAAGTATTGAAAATGGCTTTTTTTTATATTTAAATGATAGTATGACTTTTAATAGGATATAATGGAGAAAAAGGATTCATATAGCCGACCCCATGTAGTGGGATAAAAGCTTCTTGTTGTTTTTATTCATCTGGCTTAAATAGTTGTACACGTTACATTTGAATTACTTAATTGGAGGGAAAAAGGAGTTGGGGGAGGTTTTGGCAACATTAATGTTGGAAAGAGTGCATAACTTCTAATAACTGCCCCAGCTTTCTTCCCTTAGCCAGCCAACCAAGCATGAGCTCATATTTAATTTAAATTAATTCATTCAATTAAATATGCGCACATAAGGAATTAACCTGTCCCTCCAAAATTTAGAAAATCTAAAATTCAAATTTTCAAAATCTTTAATTTTGCACTTTAACTTTCTAATTGCTACTACAACCCAAAATCACAATAACATTCTCTTACAATACTTAATGCATATATAAATATAAAAGTAAAATTCTATTTAATTGGATTGCTCCTTGTTAACTTTCTTTTGCTTTGGACTTTGAATGACTTGCGTAGTCACATTTCTTAGGAAAATTATTATGTGATGTCTTTCGTAGTCACATTACTTCGTTTACACTTCAATTTTCTTGATTGGCAGATTAAATGGAGACAAGAAATGAAGGACAAGGAAGAAGCCCTTTCACTCCTTGAGGAGGAACATAGAGCCAAGGAAGCTGCTGAAGCGAACTGCAAGAGAAGGCAAGAGGGTTTGCGCCAGAAGATTGAAATAGATTTCCAGCGTTATAAAGATGACATTCATAGATTGGAAGAGGAACTTTCAAGGCGTAGGGAAGTCGCTGCAGCTGCCCGACTGATTCATTCAGTAGATACAGAGGCACCAAAACCTCTTGCAGAATCCAATCCTAAGGTTCTTCTTCCTGAGCCGCGACGCTCGCCACAGAACAATAAACACAGGATATGCTGGGTCTGCAGGGACAACGAGGTCTCAGTAGTTTTCTTACCATGTGCCCATCAGGTTTTATGTTACAGCTGCAATGAAGAAGGCAGGGAGAAGGGCAGTCATACCTGTCCAGCCTGCAAGGAACGTATTGAAGATAGGATTCATGTTTATGGTGCCAGCTCGTAGGGCTTTTATTTTTTGTGGAGTTTCAGTTGCATTCCTTATCCTGTAGGTCATTTTTTCCTTTTTGAATTCCCTCACGGCCTCTTCACCCATCATTTAATCTGCAAAAATACCCTCACACTGTATTCCTTTGCTTGGTGGCCAAGCTGAACTAGTAAAACAATACTTATGCCTTCCTATGGCCGATGAAAGTACTACAAAAACTATTATTGAAAGGTGTGAAATTTCATGCTTGAGCGATCTCAGTAGAATTTACAGCTGAGCAGCTATGCTTGGCAATTTTTTTTTGAATTTTATGAATGGAAATTAGAGCAACGCCTATACTGTTAATGACTAATGAAGAAAATTATCAAATTATTATGAAAGATGTGAAATTGTTGAACTTGTTACGTGCTGTAAAAAAATCAATTTTTTTATGATCTATTGCAATCTACTGATGAACATCCAACTAAAGAAAAATCTTTGCTGTGGAAATCCCTGGTAAAATTTTACTGAGGATGTAGCATAACTTGAATATTTTATAAGGTAGATCTTCATTATTTGGATGGTACTAAGGAACCTTTATAAGATTTTTTATTGCATTGATTACTGTCTTGTAAAATCGTTGAAGGTGAAGGGAAAAAAAAATCAAGTATACAGTATATTTTTGTAGTTTTATAGTCGCAGTTTGGGATGATTTTTAATTTATATTTATTATTTTTAAAAGATATGATTGATTGTATTTGAAAATTTATTTTTAAGTAAATTAAGTTGTTTTTGATAATTTTCAAATAAAAGGTTTTTTGATATCTGTATTTTTAATGAAAATCACATTGGTTACTACACAATCTCACTAGTCGCCGTTGGGAGTTTTTGTTATCAAACAAAATATTTTGAATTCGAAGTATACGTATATAATGTATTTGAATTTGCTTTAATTAGTCTAAATGTTCAAAAACAAAAAATAAAAAAATAAAACAGCCGTTGTCAATAGCTTTTGTCATTAGTAATTGTATAATTTTCAAGAAAAAAAAATGTATTTATGATTTCCAACGCTTTTTTATTGCATATTAAAGTTTTAATGTAATTAAATAAGAATACTAATAATAATAAAAAAAACAAGAGAAATAAGAAGTGATTCCAAATGGCTCTTTAGAGTAGTTGGATTATTCAAAATTTAAGAGTGTCAAAACAATTTTTGCTTGGGATGTTTGATTCGTCCACCTGCTCGAAGTAAATAGCTTTTTTTTTGTCTATTTTGAGGGAGTGGAGTTTTTTTAGGCTTTGTTTGATTGGGTTGTTGCTTATTTAAAATAAAGTTTTAGAAATAGATGTTGAAAAAAAGGGGTTTACTAAAATAGAGTTTTAATTATTAAATTTTGTTTGAGGCTTCATTTGGTTATTAGGTATTTTTGTAAAAGATAGTTTTAAGAAACAATGGTTCATAAAAAGGAGTTTTCTAACGAAGAAGGCACATATAAAAGGCTTTCTCAAAACAGTAGAAAAATAAAAAAATGGTGTTATTGGGAACGTGGTTTGAGGAACCAAACAGTTAAAAAGAAATAATTTTACCGTTTTAAAAAGGAATAAGCACAAAAAACATCCAATCAAACTAAGCCCGAGTAACATTTTTGAAGTGCTTATTTTTAGAAACTGAGTTTGAAACTGAATAAGCAGAAATCATGTTACTTTTCTAACTGTAAAAAAATGGAGTTACCTGAAAAGGAATTATATAAAAATTGTTCTTCCAAACTTTTAAAAGTAATTGATTTCGGTTTCTAGAAACTGAAAAATGGAGAAATTAAGGCTTCGTTTGTGATGACTTTTTTATTGCTTTTTAAAATGGAGTTCTAGTTCATTTGGGACGGCTCATGCTCCTGCTTCTTAAAGTAGCTTTTAGAACAAAAATTAAAATTTTTGTACTAAAAACTGTTTTAAGAAGTAATAAAAAAGTCGTCCCAAACAAAGCCCAAGCCTAATCAAACAAAGCATTAATCTAGAGGCATGTCATGTTCTCCTTCATGGATTATAATCGATCTCATAGAAAAGTTAAGATAATAAGATATCTTCTTCAAAATCCAAACAAAGCTTTATCATTTCAGCAAGTGGAGCCCTATGAAGGCTCTCTTAATTGGCTGTCAGTGAAGGGGGAAGATGTCAAGTAGTCTTTGCTTATCATATTATTATAGTAAAGATTGGATATCTTTTTACACAAACTTGTTGAACTTTAGGATGCTTTTGCCTTGTATGAGTATGAAATCAAATCACTGAATTTGAAAAATAAATAAATTTTTAAAAAGTCTATGAAAAGGAATATTATATAAAGCACTTAGGAGATAACCCACATAGGGAGACTTATATAAGGCAGTGTTAATATTAGATATTAATACATGAAGATAAGCTATACTATGAAACATTTGATGTAGAACTTTATATTTTAGTTTTCACTATTTCAAGAGAAAGAAATCTGTTGTAGATTTATTTTTTTCTTTAATTTCTAGAAATCTTGAAGTGGGTGCTCCCTTGCTCATGACATGTGTCAGTTGATTAGTTAATGGTATGTGAGATGTGTCGATAAAGCCAATTTATAAATTTTCTATATTCAATTCAATGTGTTTAGTGTTCTCATTTTTAACTAAATTAGGCGCAATACTAATAGAAAATTTGTTGCCATTAGAGTTCCTTGAGTCATTCAATATTGATGTTCAAGTCAAGGACCATCATTGACCAATGAAATTCATATATTTTATGAGGGATAGGTCTAAGGTTCATTCTAGCACTTGATCTTGTGTATATAGTTAGCTTCATACTTCTATATGTAATTAAGCTTATAGGTTAAGTTCTTTATTTTTTTCAAATAATATCCCTCCTTTTATCATGATCTTAAGATGGTATATAATCATATGCTATGCTTACAAGTTTTTTTTTTTACCATAAGATTGTATATGAATTAATTCACTAAATCAAATATCATAACATATATATGGTTCGAGGGTAAGTAAATTAGCATAACAATTAGTAAAAAAAAAAAAAGTAGCACAATCAGTCTATCTTATCTTTCTTGTTATATTGTATAATAATTTATTATACACCTATAACTAAAGTTCGTGAGAGTTGTTAAACCTTTATAAACTATCATCGAGGTTAACCAAGAGAGGGGGGTGAATTGGTGATTTAAAAAACTTCTTTAAACATAAAGATAAATCCTCTTTTTAAAGTTGTTTCAACATCTGAAAACAAATAATTTTATCCCTTGATACGGAAGCAAAATAATTTCATAATAATAGAAAAATAAAGATTTTCAACCACATAATTAACACAAAAATAAATACAAAAAAGGTGCAAAAAATAAAACCAAGAACAAATACACCATTTTTAGTAATTCGGTCAACCTGACATACGTCCACTCCCCGGAACCTCCCGTTCCAGATATTACACTAAACTCTTTTTTAGCCCCCACAGCTAGGTAGAGAAGCCCTTACAAAATCTTTCCACCATCACGATATGGCAGGGACCATGCTCCTTTCACAGGCAGGGAAACTTGACTCTTTTTTACCCTCCTAGTGAGGCAAAGAACCTGGAATCACTTTCACCTTCCACGGTGCGTGGAGTAGTCAGGTTTTTTGATATCAAAGGGATCTTCTTCTTCCCAAAACTTTCCTCAAGACAAACCATAAATACAATGGTACTAAGGTGCAAGTTTCCTGGAGTAACCACGTGAAACACCCTCCACACTCTCTTAAAACCCACAAGGATCTTCTCACTCTCAAGCTCCACCATTTCTTCTCTCTATTTCAAGGCTCTCTCTTCAAGTTTTCTTTAGAAGAACAAAGAGTCAATGCATGCCAAAATACATTTATAATGTCTTTGGAGAAAGCTTAAATAAAGGGCTTCAAAACCCCTAAAAAATCAATTCTGTCGTTAAAGATCGTCCAGTACGATCCTGTACGATAGTCCTATACGATTAGTTCAAAATAGCCCTTTTTTATAATACAACATGTATTATCCTCTACAATCAGTTCAAGAGTTTCTACTGATCATCTAGGACTATTATGAGATCATTCGAGATTATTAGTTGACAAATTAAGGTTTTCATCTTATACTATTGGGGGTCATCGCATACATCCTCTCAATTATCCAATACGATCATCACTGATTATCCTAGATTATCGGATTGAATAAATTAATCATAATTAGTCCCCTAATTACAAGATCAATTTAGGCATGATTGTCATAGATCATCAGATACAATGTATATCTTCCTAGATGAATATAACAAAATTTGAATATTAAAATCTTGCCTAAATTATGAATGGAGGCTATTTTTCATGTTCATAACTGATTATCCTGAATGACCTAAATCGTCCAGTACGACTAATTATATGAATTGATTGTACAGTATGATATAAGTCGTATAGTATGATTAGTTCAAAATTTAAACTTTTGGTTTTGACTCAATTTCACTCCTCCTGAGTGTGTGTGTATGATCACCAAGTTAGCATACACCCTTATAAGACTTGACTCAATAAATTAAAAATATATCAATGAATATTACAAAAATCTTTAGAATATAACCTATTCGATCCTATATTGAGCCTTGAATCTTCATTAGATGGTGCATGGTATTCGTGAAATATTAGTACACACACAAACAAATAGATATTGTAATAAAATTAGACATAAGAATTTGAGACATAATGTTCATTATCATCAAAAATAAAAATTCGTAAGCTCAAGTTGCAATAATCTCCCCATTTTTTACAAATTAAAAAAAAATATTTTTTCCTAATCTCCTCCTCACTAAAATAACAATATTAAAAAATAGGGGATACTAAAAATATATATTTTTATTTAAGACAAATAAAATTAAGAAACTAAGTAATAAAAAATCAAACTAAAATAATAGATAAATAAATGCAATCAGACAAATGCGTTATCCCCCTTTGACATTATCAAAAAGAAGAGAAATACATAAAAAAAACAAATAATAAATAAATAAAACAAGCACAAAAGATCAAACTGACCCTGATCAGGTGGAGGTGGTGGTGATGTTTAAGAAGAATCAATTAATTTCAATAAATTTTCTCAAAATGAGAAAGAGTCCTCTTTATTTTATTCAAAACTTAGTAAGAAATAAATTGAATGCACTAAGATCTAAAAAGGTTGAAAATTTGAATTTTAGTAACCCTAGCTCAGGCTCCTTCAAGGTTAAAGTCCTTTTTAAAATAAAAATCTAATTCAGAAGATAAATTAG